CGCGGCCCTCGCGGCGCTGGTGGAGCTCGAGGCTGAGGGTGGTGGGGGAGCGAGGAGCCACGGGGACGCTGGGCCGCGGGCGCCTCAGCGATGTTTTACTCAGGGCTCCTCACCGAGGGTGGCCGCAAGGAGACGGACATGAGGGAGGCGGCGTCTCTGCGGCAGCAGCGCCGAATGAAGCAGGCGGTGCAGTTCATTCACAAGGACTCTGCCGACCTGCTACCCTTGGACGGTCTCAAGAAGCTGGGCTCGTCCAAGGACACGGTGAGCCCCCGCCGCCGCGCCCGTCTCAGGGTCCCCGGGCAGGGCGGCCCGTCACCTTCGCGCCGTGAGTTCTCCCGGGGCCCGCCCATGGCCGCTTTCACTGAGTCACCGGCCCGGCCCCCGCCGGCGGCCGGCCGCTATCTGCTGTCTTGCTGTTGCTGTTTCGGATCCCCCTCCATCCAGCATCCCTCTGCTTCAGTTTCTCTCGAGATTCCGTCGTAGCTTTTCCAGCGCGCTCCCTTAAGCTCAGTCCCTTCCCTTCATGTCTCTCCTCTGTAGTAGAAGAGACCCCTGCCGTCTTGCCCGCAGGTCCCCTTCCCTTCCCGTTATTCGCAATACCGAATTTGATTGCGTGGGGCTTGAGCCTCGCAGCCAGGATAGCTCCCCCTGCCTCCCAAGCTGCTTGGCGGGTCCCGTGACCCAGACAGAGGTGACTCCTAATGGGTGTGAGAAGGAGAGAACGAAGTGGGCAGAGGGCTTTCTCGGCAGTCACTGTATCCAAATCCAGATGACTTTTGTTGAATCCATTTCCCCTCTTTGCAAAATCTACTTCTCCGTTTGATTTTGGTCTTATCTACCTTTGACCTTCCAACGGGAGTGGGGAGAGAGAAAAAGGTTTCCTGAGCCCCAAACCTTTTGTCATCATTCCCCTTTCCTCCTATTCTACCCCCAAAGAATGGACAGAGGGAGGAAGCCAGGCTGTTCCATTACCCAGACCAGGTAATGGAGCTGGGGCTGGCGCAGTCTTTTTTCTAGCAGGATTGTTCTTGGCATGAAGAAGGAGAAACTCCAGGACTGGAGGTCTGAGTTCAAAGACCATACTATCCTCTGTCTATAGGAGGACTCCTATAGGGGCCTAAGGATTAGTAGTTTAAAGAACTGTATCTGACTCTTATCCTTAAGTCACTGTACTGGTGCTGGACTAGATTGATGTTTAGCTTTGTAGTTTTGTCTGGAATTTTCTTGTAGTTTAACTATTTTTTTTTGAATTTCACAATCACTTTATTCATCTAGGCAATAATTTATGAAGCATGAATTAAGTGTCTCTTACATGAAGTAGATGCTCTGTATAATTTTTCCAATATTTTCTGAGCTTTTGGAATGTTTAATTTGTCAGGGAAGAGGGGTGTCAGCCTAGATCCCTGAAATTGTCATTTCCAGCCACAGGATGACTATGGAGGGCAGAGCGTCTGAATCCTCTTTTTTTTTTTAAAAAAAACAATTATAATGACACACAGATACCAAGATCAGATTTGCCCTCCCCTTTTGTGATATAGAATTGTTTTTAGTTATTTACGTGCAAAGGATGTCTGTTCAGTTATCCTGCTCTGTTTTTAAAAAGGTATTTTACCTTCACAAGCCACAGGATAGTTAATCTGATTCATGTCAACTCAGAGTGGCGAGTGACTGAAATGTATTCCTAGAAAAGAGGTAACTGTCTTTCTTCCCTCCTTTCACTTTACAACAGTCTAGATTCATTAAGCAAATTGGGTCCAAGTCTTCTTACCTTCAGGCCAAAATAATCCTGGTTCCTGGAAGCCTCAGGAAGCAATAAAGAGGAATGGACAAAGAAGTAAAATGTGGACTGTTTTTCTTCCTTTCATGCCAGATTTAACATGATTGACATTTGGTTATCGTAGGACATCGAGGAGTTTCCTAGCCCTGCAGAACTGCCTCTACAATCTTCTGCCTGGCATTCTTTACGCTGCTTCATCCTGCGTAGGAAGAATTCCATCTGCTTTTCTGACTCCAGTCTGTCTCAGTTGAGCCACACAGGAACTGATAGTGTAGAACATAGGCAATAGGCTGGAAGGAAGAAGTGTCCTCAAGACTCAGGTTATTGCCTGATGGTCCTGATGTGACACACAGCAGTTTACTGTGAGACACCTTCACCCCCTACTGCCATGGAGTTGATGTCCCTCTCTCACTGTTCTCACACCTCTGATGTGCAAGTGATTGCACAGAAGAGGAAACGGGTCACAGATGCCAAGGCAGACTGAGATAGGGGTGGGAAAGCTGTGAGTGCTAGGTTGAGGCAGCATGCTTAAGCTCTCTGGGAACACATGCTGCTGCCTCAGGACCATCTTAGAAATACCCTTAGAAGTACTGTATCAGTTCACTTTATGGGTACATCAGGTAGTATAGACCAGTGTTGACTCAGTGTTCTCTCTCCGAAGTGAAATTTTGAGGATACCAAAATTGATTGTGTGGGTCTATAGTACAAACTCAATAGAAGAGAGACCAGAAAAGGGAAGGGATGGCCCCAGAGGGAGATGGGGGGAAATAATAAATTAGTTTTCATTGATTCTGGGGTTTATGCCGGTGAGAAGATTGTGGATTATTTTCCTTATACTGGTGACCTATATTGGAATTATAGTGCTGAGTTTTCTGAATTATCTACCTTTACCATGCTGTTTCTGTAATGTTTACTATTTGAATCCAGCCTGCCAACTTTTTTTGGATTGGCAAAGAGCATCTGTAAGCAGTCAAACGTGGGTTTGTTCTCTTGGCTTCAGGGAAGTGCCTTTGTCCTATTCCTGTTTGTGTGTAGTTGGCTGCTACAAAGTCTGCTGTGGAAATTAATCTTGTTCTTATGTCTGGCTCTCTTATTTTGTTTGTCCTTTCATCTTGTGCTGTTTTTTCCTGTGTTAGATTAAGAACCAAAATCAGAGATATGAATGAGTAACTTTTTATTTATTGTTATTTTTCAAGTATTGAAGCTAGAGAAAAAAAACCACTCAAGAGTTTTGCCTATTCTAATTTCTTTTGTTTTAACTACCAGGTTCATAAATGTTCTTCTCATTGAGGTAAGGACTTTTTGATTTTAAAAGCAGTCATGTCATGGGATAATATACTATCTTTCCTATATGATAGTATTACTGACCATCAGGCTATATCCTTACTTATCCAGCAATAGAGAGTTTTACTTTCCTATTTATTGATTTTTGCTTATTGCCAAATGCTTTAGCAAAACTCACTAGAATTAGGAGAAGGCTGCGGGAAGAATGGTGGGACATAGCAAAGCCAACTGACCATGAAATGACTAGCCCTATAATCTGAGCATCTGATCAGACTCTCTGTCAGTGAGTAAAGCCCTGGGTGGTACCCTACAGATTAGTTATTCATAATGCTACAAGACATCCATAATGCTATAGATTTTGGACCAGTGAACTTTGGAGTCTTAGAAGTGGAGCATGAAATACCAATAAAACATCAGAATCTGGTACAAGCTGAAGATTTACAGAGCCATGATCAAATCCTAATTATAGCAAATACTGTTTGAATATTTGCTGTGTTCAGGGCACAGTGCTAGGTGCTAGGACCACAAAGAAGAAGACTGAAAAGTTTCCTTGTACAAGGAGTTTATAGATTAGAGGGGAGGACAGGACAGATTAATTTATTACCCACATATTTATTGAACACTTATTACATGTCAGGCATAATCTAGGTATTGAAGATAACAATAATGAACAAAAATGGAGTAACTGCTCTCATGGAACTTGCATTCATGTGGGAGGAGAAGACAGAAAATAAATCAAGTAAATACGTAATATATCAGGTTGTAATCAGTGCTATGGGGAAAATAAACCAGGGTAAGGGAATGGGGAGTGTAATGGCCAGGGTAGAGTGGATTAGAGCCTTGCTATTTCATATAGCGTTGTCAGGGAAGGCCTCTCTGATAAGATTACATTTTAGATGAGAGAGCGCAATATCTTGGGGAAGAATGTACTAGGCAGAAGGTTCTAACAGCAGGTGCAAAGGCCTGAATTGTCAATGTGCTTGATGTGACTGAAGAACTGTAAGAAAGCCATTGTGGCCAGAGCAAAGTGAGCAGCAGGGTGGTGATGGGAGATAACCTCAGAGAGAGATAGTGGGAGGCCAGACTACTAAGGGCCTTATAGATCATTGTACAGATATTTGACTTTTAATCTGATATGGGAAACCGGAGAAAACTTTATGCTAAGGGGTGAAATGACATGGCTTATTTTATAAAGCAGACTACTGTGTGGATTAGGCCATAGAGGGCAAGAGTAGAAGCAGGGAGACTGATCAGCAAGCTGTCATACGCTAATCTAGGTGACAGATGATGGTGGCTCAGAGCAGTGTGCTAGCAGTGAAAGGGGCAAGAAGAGATCAGACTCTGGGTTGTTTTGAAGACAGAGCTGACAAGTTTAGTTGATAGATTGGATTAAGGGTCTGAAAGAAAGAGTAGTCAAGAATGTCCTCAAGGTTTTTTGACCTAGCAATTGGAAGAATAAAGTTGTCATTTGCTAAAATGGGTAAGAGTACAGAAAGAGCAGGTTAGGGATAAGGACTAAGAATCAGGAATTTGACTCTTGAACAAGTTAAGTTTGGGAAGTCTGTTAGTTATTCAGGTGTAGATGTTGACTGGATAGTTCCATGAGAAGATAAATAATACCACCAGGAAGTCTATGCCAGTTACCAGATGTTAGTCAATAAGCTCTAGAGGAGTTCAGTGGAAGATGTAGTTACCCTGGCCTATTGTGACAATAGTGATGGAGACCAACGTCTAATTACAGTTGCATCACTCCCTGGTGAATCAGCTGACTATGAGATGATATAGGGAGGAGACTGCTTCCAGAGTGTGCCCTTATGGAACCTCAGAGGAGGAAGAACTTTACAGGTTATCTGGTCCAGTTCCCTGCCCATGTGTGAATCCTTTCTAACAAAAATGCAGCCTGCCATGGGCAGTTGAGAAACCACCATCTCAGACCAGCAGGTAGCAGTCAGGAATAAGGCTGCTCTCTTTGAAATAACATGTCTGTTGGGTCACAGGGCAAAGGCAAAGAGACAGAACACTGAAGGCTTGAGGCAGTGTGACAGGCTGCCTTAGGTAGAGCCCCATGTGATTTTAAGCAGCTGTAAACTCAAGGACAGTCTGTCTGTGTTCTTATGGTACAGAATGGGTCGTGTATTGTATACTCAGCTAGTAAACAAAGAAGAGACAGCACGGATACTAGTGCCCTTTTAGATTTCCA